TCTTTGCACCGGCGATCACTCCCCGCCCTCGTCAGCTCTCGGGATGTTACATGCCCACCAGCTTTCGCCTGGTTCGTCCTCGAACCACACCGTACTGGAAGAGAGGCCCTGCTCTGATACCACTTGTAACGCCCGACCGCTTCAAGAATCAATGACTATCCCCACATACTAACACGAGACTTTTCAGTGTGCTTTTTCCTCACTCGCACACTTCCCGGGAAAACTTCCCATGAGGTCACCCATCCCAGAATTGCTCTAAGTTAAGCACGCTTAACTGTGGAGCTCTTCCGATCCGGGCTACCAAAAAGCAGATGCATCTTGTTAGTATATGTAGTACTAATTAATTCTTATAAGCTATCCCAAACTGTGCAGTCTTATACCTGCACAGCCTTTGGGATCCCTCTCTTTCGGGTGTCGATTCGATTCATTCGTGCAAGTAACCCCCGCTGGAAGCCTGTCAGGAGCCGCTCCTTGTCCGTGCCTCTTTGCACCGACGATCACTCCCCGCTCTCGTCAACGCTCGGGATGTTACACCTTATGAAAATCTAGGCATGATGGCATTTTATTGATTTGTATTTCGGATTCTCTCTCTATGTGTACCTAAGGACTAAAAAAGATCAGAATCTCTTGAAGATATATAAGTAACTTGTGCCACAAGTAAGCGTATTGAAAAAAGCTTCAAGAGGTAAGCTCTATGTTTAAGGAGTCTTTTCCTGCTTGAGTGCTCCACCATGGTTAGTGAACTATGGTGGGACTGTATGACTGTTGTTTAGATGCTTTGTATAGATGCATTCATATAGAGTTATTTGATAACATGATATGACTTGTTCTGATATGATTTATGTATTGATGGTATGGTACACTGATGTCTTCTTGGGGTTTCCCTGAGATTGACGATGTACACCTCTGACATGTTCTGGTTCCGCTTGGGGTCCTCCCTTGGGAACACGTGCGTTGATTTTCGCTTGGGGTCCTCCCTTGGGAATGACGGTGCACACCTTTGATATGATATGGATATATGCTTTGTTCTATTGGGAACACGTGTGTTGATTTCCGCTTGGGGTCCTCCCTTGGGAATGACGGCGCACGCCTCTGATATGATATGATATGAAATATGTTTTGTTCTGTTATGATATCTATTATAAATGCATTTGTATACTCTGTATCTGACTTTCATGCAGGAGTGAGCCAGGGGTATGGAGAATTCTCTATAAACCTGGAGCTTATGGAGATTTGTAAATCTCACCCCTCTTTGGGGATATATTTTCAGGTGCCCAAATTCCCGGTGAGTCCTCATTAGGCAGGGACGCGACACGTGGCTGAGGCAGTTGACAAATTGGATTTTGAGTGGCTGTAGGCTACTACCCTTTTTGGAGTGTATTAGTGTATTTCGTATTTTAAGTTATTTTGGGATCATGATGTTTGATCTCTCACCTTGTATATGGCCTGTATATGTCTTGTACATGTCCTTCAGTTTGATGCATGTACATTTGGGTATTCAGGCACGTTATATGATGATGTATTATTCAGTTTATGATTATGTGTTGGATTGCATGCTGATTAGGTATAGTGGCACGGAGCCATATTATGCATGCGCCCATGGATGGGTATCTGATTATAGTTGGATGTCTGGTACCTCTGAATTGATATGCTGTATAAACTGTCTATCAGGAACTCTTGTGAGTGGGATTGGAAAATCTCCAGTTGTCCAATTTACAGAGGTTACTCTTTCTGATTTTCGTCTCCGCCAAATAAAAGTTAAACTAAAAAAAGAAAAAGTTAGCTCATATTTTCGTAAGTTAAGTCTTCCGCTGTTTCTGTTTGTATCATATGTATGTTAATTGAATCGGCTCGAGACGGGGATGTTACAATACACATACATATAACAAAGCATTAAACTACTTTATTGCATTTACATACACTATCAATAACCATTACCCATTCCGGGCTTGGTGGAACAATAAAGGGATTAACACCCAAGGTCCAAAGGCTTACCTCAAAGCTCCAATTCAACCTTTGCTCACCAACAAGTTTTGCAACCAATCAACTTTGAATTCAAGCTACAATTTGCAAAATACACACCTACACCAAGGTGTCACACAATCAATCAATACAAGTTAATGAATATCCACTTATTCATCAACAAAACAACAACTCTACACCACAAATTGGCATGAGCTTACCTATCCAAATAGGCTAATCAAGCTCCATAGCTTGCTCCAATGAATGGTCACTCAAAGTTGGTCCACTTGCCTCAATCCTAGCAACACAAGGACACAATCAACCATCCAATTTACAATTTACTCAAAATGCTAGAAAACTCACAAACCCCAAGCATGAAATTTCTAATACATTGAACAACAACCAAATGACAATCTAAATCCATTTCTACCGTTTTTTTATCATCTACAACAACTTTTACAAAGGGCTTAAGCTTAAATCAAACCCAAACTCATATTACTCACAATGACACTATTCATCATCTTCCTCCATCCTTTCAAACTCCATGAAAACCAAGTTTAAGGAGTGGAAACTTACCACAAATAGTTGCTTATCCAAGGAATGATTGTTCCTAAAACTTCCAAGGAGTGAAATGCTCCCAAACCCCTTCAATCTTCAAAGGGGGCGAAATTTTGGGGAGAGAAATCTCACACCACAATGCTCCCCACTCAAAACCAAGCTAGGATTAAGGATGAGAGGAAGAGTCTAAGTGGTTTAGGCTTTTGAATCACTCAAAATAGTTGAGAGATGATGGAACTAGGGTTTGCTCTCCAATGGTCTCTTTTCCCTTTCATTCTCTGTTGTCGACGGGAAGGAGGAGGAATGAATGTGTTTTCATTAGCTTTGGTCACTTAACATAGGTTAAGTGACTTTAACCGGATATAAGCTCATCTATCTACTCAACTCCGTTCTCTTTCAAACTTTATCCATAGGTCTGGAATATTTTTCTAGGAATATTTTCAATTTTATTTTAGGTACTTTCTACTGATATGCGTCTAACATATGGAGATTTCTAAGTAAAAGAAGCAAGGAATTAATCATAAATGTGTGAAAATAAGCTCATAAATGCAAGAAATATTGATTATTCCTTCTCAATCATTCTCTCACTCAATTTATGCATTTTGATAGCAGGAAACACCAAAAAGAAGTGAAAGAGAAGTTAAAATTGCATAGTCTCGCGCAAAAAATGGCACGATCCGCACGGATTTGGCGCTGATCGCGCAGGCGTCATGAATGCAGTCCTTGATTTGTGGAGTCGCGAATTTGGCACTGATCGCGCGGGCGTCATGAATGCATTCCTTGATTTGTGGAGTTTGATTAAAAGTGAAATTTAATCAAATTAATGAGAGGATTATGACCTGATTGATTGGTGGAATTATGAGAAAAATAGAAATTTAATCAGAATTAATTCAAGGATTATGACCTGATTGAGTAGCTGGCTATATAAAGGAAGCAGAAACTCTAAAACAACATCATCTTGGGGGCTGGAGAGAATTTTTGGAGGCTCACGCTGAAGATCATTCATCTTCTTTTTCTTTTTGTTTTTATGAATTCTTTTTATTTTAAACTGTCAGACATGATTATGTCTGGCTAGTCTTTTTATATTGTGGTAAGGGTCACAACCCTTGATGTGAACCCCTTGTATTTTGGTTAAGTTTATGGTTAATTAGTCAATTGAATTTATTTTACTCTGTTTTTTTCATTCCATAATTCTTTTAGAATTCGCGACTCTATTAGGATTGCGAGGGTTAGGGTTCACAATAGGGATATTGGGATTCTAATTCCTGACAAAGGGTAAGATAATTGTTCATGTATGCACTAGGGATAGGCTACATGAACTGCAATGTGGAAAATTCACTGGGCTTAAAGATTAACTTGAAAAGGGATTTCTAAGGGATTAGGATTCTAATAGGGTTAATAAGGTTAAGATGATCACTAAGGGATTAGGGCTTAACTCATTAATTATAGATGGTGAATTATTTGGTCAATTGGGTAATTAAATATAAATATTAATCATTATTACAAGGTGGGGATCAGAAAGGTGTTGGCGTCCTTTACTGCAATAGTTTTTCTTTTAATATTTTTCTCAATTCTCAATCTTTGATTTTAATTTCTTCAAATTTCTCTCTGAATTGTTCACGAAATATTGAACGGTTCACAATTGTCACGTTACAATTACTATAAAAACCTCTTTTGTTCATCCAATTAAGAAAGGGCTAGTTAAAATTAGATTTGGTGCCTCAATCCTCGTGGGACGATATCTTACTCACTTTTATTATTACTTGGTACGATCGGTGCACTTGCCGATTTTACGCAACACCTACGCACATTTTTACCCCATAATTTTCACTGACAGCACTTTTTACCTCAAAAGTGACCTCAATTCACTTAATTAGGCCTTATACTTAAATTTATTCGCTAATATATGTTTAATTACTCACTTACATGTAATTTACTAATTAATTAAACTAGGGCTATTATAGCTCTTGTGCAGTTTGGACCGTTGATCCGTTTGATCACCCAAAAATATTTAGAAAAAGCCGAATGCTAATTTACTATTCGACTGTGTCCAAATTGAGTGTGTATGAAGAGTCTGTCTTGTTTATTCACTGTATAGTGTATAGTCTAAGAGGTAGACGTTCATATTTTCTTTTTTGTCAATTTACAAATGAGGTGTCTCATTGCTTTGCCGCAAGCTCATAACCATTATCTATATCATGAAATGGATATATTACATTAACACACATGAATATTCTTATTATATACTCATGACTATGAGAAAGTGAAAGAAAAAAGATGCAAAGCATATAAACTGATTTATTTATGATTATAGTACAGTTGCTTGGTGCAATTTACAAGACACCAGAAGAAAAACCAGCGCATTAAATCAACAAACTGCAAGAACTGACATGCAGGACTGCAGTAAATTCAGTTACATGAAACAGAAATTGAAACACACCACAGTTTACAGAAATATTGTTCTTAGCATCAAGCACGTACTACCTAGCTAGGGGACCAAGTTCAGTAGTCATAGTGACCAAATCAATTGAATCTTTGTTTTCAGTGTCACGACCAGTATTTCTTCGACCTAATTCTGTGGCCAAACAGTCCTTTAGCTCGGTCACTACATCACTCATGTTTGGCCTTTTAGCAGGATTAGTGGACACACAAGCTATTCCTATTTCAACAGCTTTCCAGGCAGAGCTAGTGTCAAAATCTTCTTGTAATCTTGAGTCAACAATATGTTTTATATCTCCTTTAGAAACCATGGAGCTAACCCACAGACTTATGTGAGTCTTCTCATTCTCATTCATTTTTATTATAGCTGGTTCACTTGTGATTATCTCCAATAGAACAACTCCAAAGCTGTAAACATCACTTTTTTCTGTCAACCTGTTTGATATGCCATACCTTCAAGGAAGACTATGCAGTTTAGTTCCAAGAAAGTGATGCATAACCATATATTATAATTTGAAGCACTTACTCAGGATCCAGATAACCAGGAGTTCCAGCAACAACAGTGGACATATGTGTGCCCCCATCAGTGGGAAAGCTTTTGGATAGTCCAAAATCAGCCAATTTTGCATGGAAATTTTCATTTAATAAAATGTTTGTACTTTTCACATCTCTGTGGATTATAGGTGGTGTGCAACCGTTATGTAAATATTCCAGTCCTGATATCAAATTCTTAACATTAATAGATGAGAAGAATCAAAAGATTGAAGGAGAAATTTACATATTTAGTTCCCTTTCTAACCTTGGGCTGAATCCACTGCTATTCTGAGTCTGTCCTCCCATGTCAAGAACTTTGGCCTGCTATTTTTTCCTGTACAATCAAATCAACATTTAGTACTTTTTAAGGCTTTTGGGGTAAGTTGATTGAATCTCATTGAAAATAATAAATAATAAGGTTGTGAACATACATACCTGAAAGAAGTTCATACAAGTTTCCATTTGGCATATATTCATAGATGAGCCCTATATTGGTTTCTTCATTGCAATATCCAATAAGAGAAGTCAGGTTTCTGTGATGAACTCTCATTAGAAGTTTAACCTGCAATTCAAAGGCCACTTTTATGTCATAACAACCACAATTTTGGTTGAGCTAAGACAGAAACTTTGTGCAGGTAATGGCCACTTGCCTCGGATACAAATTGTTGATATCCTCGTACTGCTGATGGGGAAAGGATCTTGACAGCTACTTCAGTGTCATCAATAAAGCCATGATAAACTGTTCCAAATCCACCTCTTCCAAGAACTCTTTCAAAGTTGTTGGTGATCTTAACAAGATCATTGAATGTATATTGTCTTTTCTTGGATTCCAATTGTGACCCATTTGGAGTATTGGGCTCAACATGAATATTCACAGCAGCTAATTTGGTGGAAAAACATTTTAGTTGTTTAAAAATTATAATGAAATCACAATATGTGTGTATTTAACCAAAAAAAAAAGATTGTAAATGGTTGTTAGCAACAGCTTTACCTCGTGGTTTTCTCTTTTTAAGGCCACAAATGATAGCTGCTGCTGCAATTACTATAAGCACCAAAATCCCAGCAACTGATGCTACTACAGGAATAACTATATTATTTTTCTTCTTCTTCTTTTTATCATCTGTTTGTTGATTGCATGAAGCAGAGTCACATAGATTTGGATTTTGCCCCACGCTAGCACCATTCAGACGAGAATAAAGTCAGATCAATAATTGCATTTTACCATCACATTTTCATTTCCAGCTATTAATACCTTTTGCTGATAATTCTTGTTTTCAAGTTTCTAAGAAAATAATTTTTGAAAGAAAAAAAACAGTGAAGAAAAATTCATTATGTCTAATATGAATTTGAGTTCCACGCTGCATGCATAAAAGATAAGGAAAAAAAATTTAACACTATAACTAACAGTTGTCACTATATATAATGGTATGTATGATAAGAAATTAAGTTACCATCATCTTGAATATTAAATGTATTGTGGATTCATAGCTTTATTATGAGGCATACCTCAATGATAGTGAACCTTTATTTGATCTGTCAAGGAGTCCAGTTGGAACAAAACCTGTAAGGTTGTTATTCTCCAAGTTTCTGCAAAAACCAGGACAAATATGACACCCTTTTTTCTTTTGTAACCAAGGAAATTACATTGGGGTAAACTTACAAGACTTTTAGTGACTGCAGTTGTGTCAGAAAATCAGGCACTGGCCCGCTTAAGCTATTGTTTGATAAATCCCTGAAAGGAGCAATTCAAATGCTGCATTACAATTCTGATTCTCCAAGAGTAGGAAATAAAAAAAAATTATTAACCTAATGACATGATGAGGAACTCACAAGTACTGTAACACAGTGAGCTTGGAAATAGAAGATGCTATCTGCCCGGTCAGTCCATTTGAAGACAAATTCCTGGTTGCATTCCCAAATATATCATCAGTTGATGGTTAAAGTTTATGAATTTATGCATTATTTATTTTATGAATGGTAAACTTACAAGGATGTGATTCTTGGGGGGTTATTGCCATCAAAACTACAGTTTAGACCTTCCCACATGTATCCTACTGGAGTGCATGGATCTCCTTGCCAATTACTGGCCACCCCATAAGTATTCTTGATGTTTGTTATAGCATCAACTAGTATTTGATATTAAAAAATAGTTCAAAAGAATTTCATGCCAATTTGTACATAGTTTAAAACCACAAATGACACTAACAAGCAGCATGTGTTCAGATAAAGAGATTACCATCATCTTGTTCAGTTTCTGATTGTGAGAAATCTTTTACTATATAAATCTCAAGGGCATTGATGATGGGTGGAAGAGTAGAAGTCTCTGTCTGAAAAAGAGAAAATTCATACCTAGTGGCTCCAGCCAAAGCTGATATACTATATATGGTATTTGTGGTCTGGTATGCAGGTACCACAGGTCCATAAAAAAACTTGCCATTCATGGTGATATTGAATGCTCTAGTTTCATTTGCTGCCAGCTTTTCAACCTCATTAAAGTGCATGTAGATGTAGTATTGGTCATTTACATTATTCGGATCCCAATAGAACTTAAGAGGAGCACTGGCATTATCTGGAGTAATGGCAGTGCTCATGACAACTGCTGGTGTTTCATAATCATTCTGAGATAGTTCCTTAGGGCTCAGTGAGGTGCTTAATAGTGTAGTCTTTTGGAATGTAAAAGGTGCCCACATGCGATCATAAACATCATCTTTGTACCTGTATACCGCAATTTTCTTTTTATCAGTATTTGATATATTTAGATGAATACACGTGAATGGTTTTATATTATATCTCTAACATATCTTTTCATGTAAGAGCTCTTTAAACTTGAAACGTGTACAATATACAAATTAGGATGAAAACAATAAGGATCGAACTTTGGACCACTTGGTCAAAAATACTCTAATAACATATCAAGAACCAACTCTCTCAAATACTTAAAACTGCTAGTTTTATATGCAGTTGGCACATAATGTAAATGATCTAGTCAGACACAAAACAATGGACTCACCTGTATTCCAAGTCGGTGATGGAACCTAAATTCAATCTTAGGAAGCGTTCCAATGATGCAGCTGAGTTAGTGTCATAAGTATCATTTTTCAAAGTCCTCAATTCTATAGCAGAAATGAATGGTGTCCCATTGCCTGTGTTAACCAGACACACATGAATATAATCTAGTGGTGGAGAGTAAATGATCTCCCTGATTGAGGAGAGTGATGCATTGGGAAATGTCACTGTGTCCCATAAATTAGCTCCTAGATGAAGACTAAATTCTGGGACCTGATTCAGATCATCATAGTTTCCATAATAGAAACTACCTCGGATTAAATATTTAGTACCACTGGTTACATTTATTCTGTAACAGTTTCTCACCCCACTAGGAAAGCTCCTCACATAAGCTAGCTGCTGTTGATGAGTACCTTGCAATGCTGGTGATATACTCTTACTTACACCACTATCAATGAATTTAGCATCTGAAATGTAATATATGCCTGTGTTCTTCTCAGTATAGCTTGAATTTTCAGGTAGCCCGCAATCTATGCTAATGAATCCTGAGAGATAGAGGTAAAGAAAACATCAGCTATATTCTTTTTGAATACATAATTATGTAAATCTTTAAGTTTTGATAACCAAACCTGATTGATCCTGAGCTTGAACCAGAACCACAATAGTAAGGACCCCAAGCAATACAAAAAGAAAATGCAGTAACATTCCCATCATTGTTTGCTGTATCATATTTTGCTTAGGGTGACAAAGATAGGTGCTATAATTATTTATAATGCTAAAGTTGTATTCTGCAGTAACTTACCTGGCAAAGTAGTCAATTTTCCTGGTGATTTAGGAACTTTGCTTTATTCAAAAAGACATTATTTAGTTGTTACAAAAAAAAAAAAAGACATTATTTTGTAGGAGTAATTCTTGGTTCAGAAACTCTTTGGTACTTGCTGTGTTTAAATCATTTCTCAGACACTCCATTCAATTGACTTACAAAGAGATATTTTTTAAAAATTGATACTCTCAGCATGATCTCACGACTCAGTACTTAACATTTAATATTGAACAGGGCACATATATTAAGTTATAGTGTTTACAGTATAAATGCACTAATGTTTAAGGAAATATTATACTTATTATTATTTTAGACTTATTATTATTATTATTAGTTTTGTTATTATTGGATCAATTTAAAATCAACAATTGAAAAAAAAAAAAAATAACTGCTATTAATTTAAAATTAAACTAACAGTAACCAAAGAAATAATAAGAGTGATAAGTATAAATTGATCGTAAATATAACCCCTTAAAATTTGGGACAGGTTATATTTACAAACTTTTTTGTTTACAAACTACACTAAGTGCGACAGACCGGTCACACTTTAATCATGTAGTGTACAACAGGTTGTACTTAGTGTAATTTACAAAACAAATTTGTAAACAGATCTTATCTCGTATATATATATTGCTTATATTTGTCATGCTTTCATAACACGGCAGAGCATAGGCTTTTTAGAGGGTTATGTCAAGGTACAACGCGCTGGTGTACTGCACTTAGACATAGTAGTTTAGTTGAGTCAAAGTAACCGAGGTTACCTATAATATAGATTAGACAGATTAGTAGAGTTGGATACTTTCCACGAAAAACATTTGGTTTCTATTTCTATCGGTCCATTGAAAAAATGCCCTTTGGCCTTGAAGACTATAACGTCCGGCAACTTGTAAGGATTAACGACTGTCCCCACACATTAACATGAGACTTTTCAATGTGTTTTGTCCTCACTTGCACACTTCCCGGGAAAACTTTACAGGAGGTCACCCATCCCAGAATTGCCTCAAGTCAAGCACGCTCAACTATGGAGTTCTTCCGTTCCGGGCTACCGAAAAGTAGATGCATCTTGTTAGTATAGGTAGTACCAATTAATTCTTATAAGTCATTCCCAACTATACCGTCTCGTACCAGCACAGTCTCTGGAATCCCTTTCTTTCATTCGATTCATTCATGTACCCCCGTCCCTAGAAGCCTGCCAGGAGCCGCTCCTTGTCCATGCCCTTTCGCACCGGCGATCACTCCCCGCCCTCGTCAGCGCCCGGGATGTTACATGCCCACCAGCTTCCGCCTGGTTCGTCCTCAAACCACACTTTACTGGATGAGAGGCCTGGCTCTGATACCACTTGTAACGCCCGGCAACTTGCAAGGATTAACGACTGTCCCCACACACTAACACGAGACTTTTCAGCATGCTTTGTCCTCACTTGCACACTTCCCGGGAAAACTTTCCAGGAGATCACCCATCCCAAAATTGCCCCAAGTCAAGCACGCTCAACTATGGAGTTCTTCCGTTCCGGGCTACCGAAAAGTAGATGCATCTTGTTAGTATAGGTAGTACCAATTAATTCTTATAAGTCATTCCCAACTATACCGTCCCATACCAGCACAGTCTCTGGAATCCCTTTCTTTCAGGTGTGGATTCGATTCATTCATGTACCCCGTCCCTAGAAGCCTGCCAGGAGCCGCTCCTTGTCCATGCCTTTTCGCACCAGCGATCACTCCCCGCCCTCGTCAGCGCCCGGGATGTTACAAAGACTAGAATTTGGAGAAAGCACATCTAAGTATTTCTTAGGTAATAAAATAAAACTTTTGCTTATTCAAACATAACTGTCTTTTTCAAAAATTAACTAAAATAGGGTAATTAGCTGTTAAATCCATCACAAGCGTGATGTTCCTTTTCCTTTTTTAATCTTACATTGTTTTTCTACATCTTTTGAGTATGAAACTATTTCTTGTTTGCGATGATAAAGTTACTGATAATTGTAAGTACTTTTCTGCATATTCAAACCTCTAACATTGTATAAACTCTTCAATCACTGATCTCAGGTATACTTCTTACTTCAACCATAACATAAAGTTATTCCGATTTACTTTTTCAGAGTTTGCTTTTATCCATCATAAGCATGAAATTCAGGACAAGAGAAATTCAAAAAGATATGCACGCAATGTGTTTAAAATTTGTGTGTGCATGGGTATTAACAGGCTGAGTCGAATTAAGCTTTGATATTAAAAGGTTAAGTCTGTGTTTAAACGTGTTATTGACCTGTTTAAAAAAAAAAGACAATAAAAATTTATTCAAACAGAAAATATAATCAACAGCATTATGATTTCATAAATATTCATAAATTCAATGTATATCTAAACAGTATAATACAAAATAAAATCATTCAAAAAATCTGTTTAACCAAAAAAAAATGGGGTGAAATAGATTGAGGAGAGAAAAAGTTATTACAAGTAGTATAAAAATATAAAATAAAAAAATTAATATACTAGGATAACCTGAAAGACTCTAAGGCCGGGCTTTTAAATTGGAACTTGAGGCATTTTTATTAAACGAGCTTTTATACAAGTCCAAACCTGATTTTAACAACCAATTTTAAACATATAAACTCAGGTTTTCACGAGTCGAATCAAAAGCTCTTAATTTGTTTATCATTCCTGTACGTAGGGGTGTTCATCAACCGATCCAAACCGATTCAAACCGCGGTAACCGAACCGAAAAATCGAAAACCGAATAAATCAAAAATCGAAAAATCGAAAACCGAAAAAAAATCACAAATTTTAATTGGATTGGATCGATTTTTGGATGGGTTGATGAAAACCGATCCAATCCAAACCGATCCAATATATTAATTCCCCTCTACCTACTTGGGTCTTTCCCTAATCATAACCTAAAAATTTCTAAACCCAAGACCCATTAACTAAACCCAAGAAAAAATCTAATCTCATCTCATCAACAAAATTTTATCTTTGTAGAGCTTCATATCTAATTATCCCAAAAAAAAACTATATTATAGTTTACTAATGTTTTTGTATTTCAAAAAATAATAATTTACAAAGACAATATATACAAAAGATGTTATTTGCACAATAATCATGAAATAAATTTTAGGATTTTCAAAAAATCGAAAACCGATCCAATCCAAACCGAAAAAAATTGGATCGGATCGGATTTGAAAAAAAATCCAAACCGAATGGATGATTATATGATCAAACCGAAGAGATTGGATCGGATGATTTTTGCTTCCAAAACCGATCCAATCCAGACCGCGAACACCTCTACCTGTACGTATGCGTTGGGGGGAGGGGGACGTCATGTTCAAGATAAAGGAATGTCTGTACGATATATTGATCTCAAATTTCATTGACTAATACGCAAGTTGTAGTATTAACTAAGAAATTTAAAAAATTCGTTAACAGCTAGAGTGATTTGGGTACAATTAGTAAGTCAACTCTGATTGGGTGGGGGATGCACAAGTTGAGAAATAATGTTGATTAATTGCATCCTCATATAATTGGAACAATTTTAAAGAATAGTTAAAAGTCAATTCACATAGAAGGTATTATAATAGCTTAGAAAGCTGTCTTCAAGAATGAGGATGATGGAGTACTACCATAAGATTTTCTAATTAACAGGAAATATTCTAGCTAGGGGAAAATGGAAAGTAAGGTTGTAGATTGAATTTTATCAATGATGAGGATTATATAGATTCCTGCTATTTCCTAACCTAAGAAGACTGTCAATGAAATAAAGTCAAAGATGCTTACAAATAAAAAATTTGATTCATAGAGGTATAAGCTTTTCCAAGTCAATTTGTACAATATATCATCTTGTCATGAAATATTCACACCAAGACCAATTCAAAGAACTAGCTTGTATTCTTAGTTAACACATTTTCTTCATTCTGAGTAGGCAATCAAATAAGTACACAAAATGAACCACAATTGACGCCAACTTGGTCTTTCACTTTTAAACACCGACAAGATTCCTATGTTTATGCCTTTTTGTTGCCTAAAAAATAGAAGAAAAAGCCTAGAATTAGCGACTTCAATGTTCTTCTTTTGCATAAGTCTTTTGGATTTGCATGCGCAATTTTCCAACAAAACTACAGCAAGTGAAGAAAACAAATTAGCCAGTCCCTTACGTGGAATAGTTGAATATGTCCTGAACGTGAGGTGCACGTCCTAATCAAATTAGTCCTAATTATTTTTTAGTTAAATTTTAATGATTCCTTTTAAATTTATTTTATGTGTAATTATTATTATTATTCTCTTTTTTATTTATTTATTATTTATTTATTTTTTTGCGGGAGGGGGATAAAAATATAATATTGTGTGTAATTTGCTTCCGAATTCTGATACTGCAATTTATGTATCTTCACATTTAACTCTATAAAACTATAAATCAAGACTTACCATTAAACTTGACAAAAATCTTTAAGTTCTATTAATTAACTTTTCAATTGGTTCAATTTAATCTCACAAACTATCGGTTTTTTCTTAATCGATTTTCATATTTTTGTGATGACATTAAATATTTACTAATAGAAAACTTTAACGAACAAATGTGATATAAAGATGAAGATTATATTTAATATCTTCGTTCATAGTTGAAGAAATGTGCATGTGTACAACTGTGAGTGTTGACATTGTATAATAGCATTGTTTCTTTTATATTGGTATTTTTTTTTTTTTTTTGTAAACCTTTTATATTGGTATTTAGTTTATAAAAGGCAGCAACAATTTTTTATTATAAAAGTTTTCCAAGGCTATAAGTTAATATTTAAAAAAAAAATGTTATCCTTGATATTGGCTCATTCCTTTCTTACTTATTTTTTATTATAGAAAAACAAAGAAAGAGAAAAGGAGGAAATTATTTTCTCTCCTTTTTTCTCTTAAAAAAATGCAAATTGAAAGTGTAACAAATTAAGGACAAGAATAATATTATAGTTGAGAAATTGTCTACAATTAGAGAAAAGCAATTTTATTAAACCCGGCTCGGTTATTGATTCAGTCGATGTACTGGGTCACTGGTTCAACCGCATGACCCGGTAAGTATATGTAAATCTACAATTTATATTAAAAAAACTATAAATATACTTAAATAATTGTAAAAAAATATACCAATTTCAAATATTTTAATATGAAAATAATAAATTAAATATCATTGTCCAACAAAAGATCAATCAAACATATAACATTTGTGATACTAGTGTTTTAGGTTCAGTAAATGACATCTCTACTATAAATCAAATCAAAATTCTCTGCATATTGCATAATCAAGATAATATCAGTGTTGTAGGTACACAATCTATGTAAGTTAATAAGCTACAAATCACTTAAATATTTTAAAAGAAAACAAATCATTTGTGTTTGAGAGTAAAAAGAAAGAAGACAATAATTTATGAAAATAAATTAGTTTTTTTTTTGATAGACCAGGTCGGGTCACCGGTTTTTACGAAAACCGGTCGGATCGCACCGAGTCACACTAGTTCTGTAACATTGCCAGTCTAATATGAAAACCGAACCGATTATATGATCGGTTTACCAATTTTCGGGTCGACCCGGCCGGGTCGGTCCGGTTTTTATAACATTGAAGAAAAGCATCTACCTTACCTTACAATTCAGTATAGCAAGAAATGTGACGTAAATGAAAAGTGTAAGAAAATGGAAAATCGCGTAACATTTTTACTAAGAAATGTGAACACCCTATTTTGTCCCAAATAAAATAAAATAAAACAGTAATAAATATATATATAATAAAAAAATCTATCTTTCAACCACAACTCAATCCATTAATCCATATCATGGGTTGATCCATGATATAAAGGCCAAAATTGGCCCATATTCTTCTAAGAGACAAATGAAACCAACCCAATACATATCAATGGACAAAATGGCCTCTGCATCGTGTGTACCTCCAATCTTTCATTTTCAAGACTAGCTGTCAAGTGGATGTTGCTTGTGCAGACACGCAACCTGGCACACGGCTCAAAGGAAGGTTTCTGTCATGACACTATCTCACGCAAGGAAGCATGGAATTTTGCAGAGATTGGGGAGAAGGGAGAAGCCAAAGCAGAGGATGAAAATGGAAAAAGTCAGAGATTGATTTGTTGGGTAGAAGAAGCAATATACAAAAATGGAATTCTGAGAGACCACCAAGATTGGCACGGGAGGAAGAGCTAAAATTTGGCAGAGATTGAAAAGATCATGAAGGACAACTTTAAAGAGACCACCGGGGGGTTTATGGAGGAACCCAGGTTCTCTCTCAACCCATCGAATAATAGGAGGATGGCCAGAAAAGAGGAGGGACGCTTATTCTATATAAATAAAGGGGACTTCGATGATTGAGGGGGTTGTTTTTTTTTCGTCTAAAGGAAGGAGTTTTTTTTGGTGAGCGGACTTCAGGTTATGAAAAAAGAAAAAGAGAAGACTAACTAAAAAAAATAGTACCCTCTCAGAACAGAAAAAGGCTTTGCCGTAAATTCTACTGTTGCCATCTATCGCACCACTATAGCTCTTTTTACACTCAGTCACCAACCACTGCAAGTCTAGCTGTTACTGTCATAAAAGAAAATCGTTGCAAATGTCCATATAGAGGGTTTCTAAGGTTGTTCACTGCCACCTAGACTCTGTCTACTCCACCGTCCATCGTTGTGCTTCATCGCTCAAAGCTCACATATCACCTTGTTGTCACCATCGTGCGACCTTCATACGACTTAAGGCTTGTGAGTTGCACTATGTTAAAATACCATTACTGTATCTCTTGTTGACTGATACAATTTTCTGAATCATATAGCTGTTAATATTATCCTTTGAACTTTATAGCTGTTAGTCTATTACCCTTTGAAACATATAGTCGTGGTACTATTCTTTGAACCATATCATTGTTAGTCTACTATTTTCTGAACCATTTAGCTGTTAGTATTATCTTTTGGATCACATAGCTGTTAGTCTATCATCTTTTGATCCCAACCGTTCATCTTTTGATCCCAACCGTATATTAGTATGGGTGTATGTGCTTTTGGTCTATTCTACCTTATGAAGGTCATATACTGATGTCGTTGTTGTCCTTCGTGTTTATTCTAGCATTTATAATATACGGTAGAGTTAATTAATATGAAAATATCAGGTGCTAAAGGAATGATTAAAATAATGTCCATCCAAAAGGGATAATAACGCTGTCATGTGATATTACTTTCACTATGCACACCTGTCGATTAGTTATGTAGTATTTTTTTTAGAAATATACGCCGCACTATTCACTTTTTGGTTTTTATGAAAGATTAGATGAGTATTTTATAGGTTAGTAAAACTTCAGCCTTTCTAGGTCTATGCCCCTACACTTCCTTGGAATAATGTTGCCATTTCTCAATTCACTTTTCCTTTTTATATCATAATAACGATGGCAGCATAGTATTTGGTCTTCGTTATTTATTTTGTCTATAACATGGTGAATATGTTGCGTAACCTTTAATTGAATTTTAGTATCATTGATGAACATTTGGCTGGGTAATTATCGTTTTTTTTCTTTTATTCTAAAAAATTTGTTGTTTAATGTTTATCTTTATAAAGTTTTATGCGATTAGGCAATCTGATTTATAATTTTATTATTATTTAATTATCAATCATGTAATCGATCACGAAAACAAATCACGAGATGTATTTGTAGTGAAAAGAAGGATTAGCTGAGTTGTAACAGCTTGTTAATCCTGTTAATTATAGAATCATTTCGACTGTGACAGCCCGATGATTTTAAAATATTTTAGTAATAATAAACAAATAAATCAAAACACAATAAAGGTTAGCTGAGTCGTGACAACTTGTTAATCTTGTAAAATTTGTGTCAGGTTATCTTGGCTACGATAATTTGATAATCCAAATTTTCCCTAAAAAAATAAATTGGTTAAAATCACAATGAATTTTTACAATTATTTATTAATTAAAGAATAATATCAAAGATTCTTGATTTTGAATAAAAGAATTAGCTTAGTCGAGATAACTTGTTAGTCCTACATCTTGCTTGGATCATTTTGGTTGGGACAACCTGATAATCCGGGAACACCGAATATAATCAAATGAATTTTTCAAAATTAAAATCAGTAAATGTACAAATTTTTTATAAAGAACGACGTAGCTTTGAATTCCTCACTGTACCGGAGGATACGTCGGAGCGAAACTCTTTTGCGTCAAGCTAAAATAAAATTTTAATATTTAGTCTTTCTACTCCCTAAACAATCATATTTATTTTTAAGGGATAAAGCAAACAATTTTAAAAGCTATTAATAATTCGCACAATTAATTCAAGGTAACCGTTTTTAAACGGATGTGTCAAGGGTGCAGTGGGATTAAGTTTCCACCCTTCCTTGCGCATAATTAGACTCCCGAACCTTCGATTTATAATTTTTAAGACTAGTTTGAAAATAAAGGTTTTCCAATTTTTCCAAAGTAAATAAAATTGGTGGCGACTCCATTGTTTTAATTTTTTCAATTTCGGGTCGTTACAGATGGCGACTCCACTGGGGACGTTAGAGAGTCAAGCCTGTTTTAATTAATTGTGCAAATTGATTTATATATTTGCTTTGCTTCCCTTTAGTCTGTTATTTTGCTTTATTTTTATTTATTTATTTTCTCTCTCTTTAATTTTTTTTTTTTTTTTTTTTTTATGCGAAAGATGTGATTATTGGCTTCAACTTTAGAATGGAGGACTTTTTATGTTATTATGTGCTTGCTCTCAATTGTTTTGCAGATTGGGTAGACTAGGGTTTATATGAAGGGTTGTATGCTCTTTCACACACGCCACTTATACATTTATCACACACGTACGAGTGGGGCCCTATACCCGGGTCTGAGTGCAACTTAAGATAGGAGAGAGGTTGTGTAGTGGTAGCCATTTTGGATGTACATCCTGTTTGGTTATCACGAAAATCTCGGCTAGAGTGTGACTCTTTCGGAATTATAGTCATTTTGGATGTACATCCTATTTGGCTATTCTCCTTCGAAATGGGATCTTAGCTCTAGTAGCCAAAATACATAGAGTTATAAAACTACCCCAACGAAAGTATTCACGTCATAGAATGACCTATGAATCAATATAAGACACAAGGGGAGCGTATTTCCTTTTCACTTCTTACTTCCATTTTCGCATATTTGCATTATTTCAAAATCATCGTTCCATAAATTTATCTTCCAAACATTCATGCATCTTGCATAGTGGAGTATTTTAGGCATACGCATACCTTTCATTATAAAAAAGGATTTTATTTATTTTTTTTATTTATTTTTTTTTTATTTTTTTCATCTTGCACCATTTAGCATTTTTAACATCTCATATTGTCTACCTTAACCCCTCCAGGGAATTTTGTTAGAGAAACTTTGAGTTCCAAAGTTTGATTGTGAGTATTATTGATGGATGATAGTACGGGATCACATCGCGATGAGGTAGCACCACGCGTATTGAAAAAGACTTTGCAACTGAAAGCAAGGAAGCCTGACACTGAAAGTTTGAAGGTCTTAGGTCGAATATTGAAGAAGACACAATGTTTAACTCTTGTTAGAAAATATGGGGAAATTCTAGATCTACTGGAAGTTGATGTGCAAGTAGATGCGATCACTGCGGTTACTCAGTTTTACGACCCACCTCTGAGATGCTTCACCTTTCGAGATTTCCAATTAGCACCTACTTTGGAAGAATTCGAGCAGATTCTGGGTTTGTCTTTGGAAAAATATGAGAAACCATATCGCTACTCGGGGCATTATCCTTCTTTGCATACTATTGCCGATGTCCTCAAAGTTCATGTGAAGGATTTGCAAGAGAAGAAACAAAACAGAAATGGGATCGATGGATTTTCAAGAAAGTACCTGGAGGAACACCTTCACCACTTAGCTGGAATTGAAGACTGGGAAGCTTTCATTGATGTGCTAGCTCTCACCATTTATGGCATTCTCATATTTCCAAATGCTGATGAGTTTGTGGACTTCGCAGCTATAGATGTGTTCTTTGCTCGCAAGTTTAGAGGTGAAAATCCTGTTCCGGCCATTCTTGCTGATGTCTACTATACTCTAAATTTCTGTCATGAGAAGAAAGGAAAAAGAATTTTGTGTTGTTTGCCGATGTTATTCATATGGCTCACTGCCCATGTCTTCAAAAGAGGATACGAGATCTCATACCCCATCACTGAGTTTCACAGATATCAGTTAGGAGTCAAGAGTGGTCGTGAATGGGCCCAAATTTTAGCACAGCTGGATGAAAAGAGCGTCCGATGGTATCCTCGATGGGTCGAAAGAGAAAATTTGATCTACCAATGTGGGGATTTCCCCAATGTGCCTCTCATGGGTACCAGAGGGTGTATCAATTACAACCCATCCTTGGCACGACGACAACTTGGCTATCCTATGAGAGGAGCTCCTACGGAGGAGATGATAACTCCATTCGTCCTTTATGATATGAACCCAGTACATAATGAGACCCTCAAAAGGGTTCGAGATGCTTGGAACAATGTCATTAGAATGGGGAAAGAGTTGAAGACCAAAAATTGTGGAGTCCAAAATAGTTACCGACAGTGGGTTACAAGTCGAGCACGAGAAGTGAAGCTACCTTTCCAAGCTCTGACAGTCACTACAAGTGGTGAATCATCAATGTCTGCCTCCCACGACAACGAAGAAATAAGAGAAATACAAGGAGAATTGGTGAGGGTTGAAGAAGAGAAGAAGAAGATTGAAGTAGAACTTAAGGAAACTCGACAAAGATGCGAGACCCTTGAACAAGAAAATATGAAGAAGAACCTTACTCTTGAAAGAGCTGATAAAAGGGCCAAAATTGAGGAAAATTATATGCTAAAAACTAAAGGGTGCCTTCAGGCAGCAAACAAGGAATTAAGCCTCCGAAGAAATGAAAGAGATGAGGCTATTACTAAGAGCACACAACTTGAAGAGTTACTCAAAAATTCTAGTGCGGCGTATAAAGATTCAAGGAGGCAAATGGCAGAAATGGGGCGACAAATGGAGATGAGAGCTGCAAAATATGAAGACAGGCTAAAAAAGGAAAAACAGTCTACAGAGGAAGTGATCATGATGTACCAAGATGCAATTCGAAGAGAGCAAGAAGAAGTACAAAGGCTAACTGATTACATCGGAGGGCAAGATGAAATCATTGCTGCGTGCAGACATGAAGTAGCATTCTGGATGACTCGTTTTTCCAACTTAGCTGAAATCTCTAATGATGCAATTAAAAACATCCCGAACAAATTAGGAATGGCAGAGGCACTGGTGAACCCCCTCACTACTCCTGCAGAGATTCGCGACTTTATTGAGTATTGTAGGAATTTGATTGTGAAAATGAAACAATCGATCATCAGGCGCATGTAAAAGCAATGTATCCCTTTGAAACACTTGTACTATGTTATGGCTTTAATGAAGATATTTTGTTCGCTACCTATTTGTGATCCCGTATTGATATTTGATAGGACCTAGTACTTTCGAACGTGACGTTCCGAGAAATGGTCCTAAGAAAAACAATCAATGATACTCACGTCAAACTTACACGCATCAATGGTTCTCCGACAAACTTGCAATATTAATATTATTCTAAAAAATAAGAACATTGATAATAATACTCATTACGCCATCTTTACACAAAATAAAATAAACATTTTTCTCCCAAATTTAATTGCTCTCACTTGCAGAATATATTTTAAGACTCAAACATTGCGCGACCAAGGAGAAGTAATACCAATCAAACCCGAGTTCACAACACCAGATCTCGGACTAGAATGGAAGCAGGCGATCAAGAGGGGAGGAACATAAGCCAGGAAGTAGACGACGTAAGAGCTAGAATGAATACGATGGAAGATTTATTGCGAGCTTTAGCAGTGTCCATCAATGCGCAGCAACAGTCAACGACTCAGCCAGGCGGTACCCAAGGGATGAATGGGATGGGAGATGCAACGAACGATCTTAATGGTCAAACTCATACAATTCATATTGGTGAAGGATATCAGTCAATGGGGAATGCCGATGCTGAGGCACACATACAAGCTGGGACAAATGATTTCACCGCGGGACAGGCGACGGGAACCCAGTCTGGGAATGGTCACATCTCTGGTCAGAAGGATAAAATAAAGGATGGATGGATGGAGAAGATGGAAGAGAAGATCAAAGCTATTCAGGGCCCTAGTGCTTACGGATCTCTTGGGGTGGAGGAATTATGCTCCACGATGGACGTGATTATCCCTAAAGATTTCAAGGTCCCAGATTTTTGTAAGTATGATGGAAGTACAAACCCAATTATCCACTTGAAGACGTACTGCACGAAGATGGCAATATGGTCCAAAGATGAGGTCTTCCTCGTTAGTTTCTTCCATGAGAGTTTGGCCGGTCCAGCATTAGAGTGGTACATCCAGATGGATCATTCTAAAATTGCCTGTTGGAAAGACTTGGCAGACGCATTCATGAACCAATATCGCTTCAACTTAGATACTGCCCCAACTAGGGAACAGTTAGGGGCTTTGCAAAAGGTGAATGATGAAACCTTTAAGCAGTATGCCCAGAGATGGAGAGCTCTTGCTGCACAAGTCCAACCTCCGCTGACACTGTCTGAAATGTGCTCTTATTTTCTAGGGACTTTAGGAGCTCCATATGTTGGAACGATGGCCGGCGCTGCGTATCGTGACTTTGCTGATCTCATAGCGGCAGGGGAACGAATTGAGATATTGGCCAAGGCTGGAAAGCTGCCAATGGACTACAGGCAGAGTAGCCCTCCTAAAAAAGGGTTGCAATCCAAGAAACGAGAATCTGAAGTAAATCATGTCAAACAACAACAATTTTTTGTTCCTCAATACCCCATGCCAAACCCAGTCCACCAAATACTATCGTACCATCCTACCCCGTATCCCTCTTACCAAACCCCCACATTCTCTCAGCCGCCGCCACAAAACTTCCCAAATTTAAGCACTACGCCCACCCCACATTTTCGTGTAAATAACATACCTACCCCATCACCATATGTGCCAACTCGTCCGTCTTATGCTCCTCGTCCCCCCACACGTCCACAGTATCGTCCAAATTACACTCAACCACAGCAAAACTCCCAAAACCAAACCCCTTTTCGTCCCCAAAATCTTCCACCATTTCCAAGGCTGTCTATCTCCAATACGGATTTATTCCAACGTCTGTTTGATGCTCATTTGATCTCGGAAAACCCTGTGCGCCCAATGCAACCTCCGTTCCCAGCATGGTATAATCCAAATTCTACTTGTAGATATCATATGGGAGTGGCAGGACATTCCATTGAAGATTGTGAGGCCTTCAAAACAGCAGTAAGAAAGTTGATTGCTTGCGGAAGATTGGATATCCAAGAAGAGACTGGGCCTAATATTGTCAATAACCCCATCCCGAGTCATGAAGGAAAGAATCAGGTGAATGCTATAGAAACAGAGGATACCGTGATAAAGAAAGTTCTGAGTCTGCGTACACCCATGTCGGGTATATGGGAGTGTTTAAAGAAAGCTGGTTATGACATCACGGTGCCAGGGCGTTTGATGAAGGATGATGAAAAATACGATGATGAGTCAAGTTGTGCGTACCACAATGGACACACAGGACATGATATTGAAAACTGCTGGGATTTCAAAGTCCGAATCCAAGGCTTGATCGCATTGGGTATCATACAGGCCAGGCGAAAGAATGCTTTTCCTGAAGAGGTTAATATAGTAGAACGCTTTGTACTTCGGGTGCCACCTATTAACAAGCATCCTGTGCCTGAGAAAATGGTCATGAAAGTGAAGAAACCAACGCCTTTTTCTTATAATGATACTCATGCAGTACCGTGGAACTACGAGACAAGTGTTGAAGAAATTGGAAACACCTCGAGAGCCAATGTTGATGATACTCGCTCGGTGGAAGAATCAATGAACACAATGAGAGTGGGGGAAGTCACGAGAAGCGGGAGATTCTATTGCCCGAAAGAACTAGAAATGAAGAAAAATGGAAAGGAAGAAGGAGGTGAAGGAATCATCAACAATGAAAAGAAAGAAGGAAAAGAGGAAGATGAGCTCTTAAAGATCATGAAGCAAAGTGAATACGATGTGATGGAACAGTTGAAGAAAACTCCAGCTAGGATATCACTTCTGTCACTAATCCTCTCATCGGAATCTCATCGAAAGGCGCTCATGAATATGTTGAGTGAGGCTTATGTCAAGTCAGATGTTACTCCTGAAAACGTGGTCAACATGGTAGATCCAGTGAAACATGTTAACATGATCACATTCTCAAATGATGAAGTTGTCTGTTCATCGGAGAAAACCTCGAAAGCTCTGCATATAACGCTGAAATGTAAAGGGTATATTATAGCCAAGGTTTTGATTGACGGAGGATCAGCACTAAATGTCCTACCACTGTCAACTTTGTCTCAGCTATCGATGAGCACGAATGATTTAACCCCTCAAGAGATGATTGTGCGAGCTTTTGATGGTACAAAGAGAGGAATTCTAGGGGAGATAGTTTTACCCTTAGAGATAGGCCCGAGTAATTTTCAGGTTTTATTCCAAGCCATGGATATCGAACCTGCCTATACCATGCTCCTGGGTAGACCTTGGATCCATGCAGCAGGTGCTGTGCCTTCTACCCTGCATCAAAAGGTCAAATATATCGAGAATGAGTTGATTGTCACCATCCATGGAGAAGAAGAAATCATGGTTTCTAAACCGGTCTCGGTGCCGTATGTTGAAAACACAGATCCCATAGAAGGAAATGGGTGGCATAGTTTTGAAGTTGTTGAATCTAGTTGCAAAAAAGATGAATCACTGGGGCAAGGTGTGAATGAGATAATCGCTCGAATTATGGCCAAGAGTGGATATAAGGTGGGTAAAGGTTTGGGCTCGCAGCTGCAAGGTAGCCGATCACCTATAATGGTTCCAGAAAAATCAAATAAATTTGGTTTAGGGTATGAAGGGTCGTTTGAGGAAAAAGTTGAGAGAAAAAGAGGCAACAAGGGCAAGACGCAACAAATTCCCCATCTAAGAGAAACATTCCCGGTGCCAGCAGAGGTTATTATGCCTGAAGAGGTCGTTCATCTCCCACATATCAATGCACTGGATGATGAAGACCTAGAAGGATGCAGCACGATTCGTCTGTCCACTAATGATGAAGCATTGAAGAATTGGCAGACAGAGCCAGTTATTGATGTGATTGCTATGAAGTAATTGTCTAGTTGATTTGTATTAGCAGCTGTTTGAGCCATTTTGAAACTTATGTTATGTTGCGCGAGACATTAATTAAGTAAATGAATTTGTATGGATTTTCAGTAATTTTAATTATTTCTCATCCAATTTGGTTTTTTTTTTTTTTTTTTTTTTTCATTTTAAATTCTTTAACCAGCGTTATTATTATCATTTTTCTTCTTCTTTTCTCACGTTCATCCTTTCATTATTCCTTGCATTCTTACTTTTGTGCCATTATATCTGTTGTATTCCAACTCCACATAAATTACTTTCCAGGAATCTTGATCTCATTGAAACTTTGCCTCATGAAAGGGACCTTGAAAACTCACCGATTGATTCTCTTGTGGCTATCAATGAAGAAGATCCGGGGTCTGATGAGGAGCAAATAGTAGAAGAATTTTCAAAGTTGTTAGAAGGCTCGGAAAAGAAATTTGATTTGAATGATGAGGTGTTTGAGTTGATCAATATGGGCACTGAGGAAGAGAAGAAAGAATTGAAAATTGTTGATAATCCCGAGCGGGAAGAGATGATTCAATTATTCAAAGAGTATCTAGATGTCTTTGCATGGACGTACCGAGATATGCCTGGAGTAGATCCAAGGATTGCATCACATAAAATTCCCTTGTACCCGGATGCTGAACCAAAAAAGCAGAAGTTAAGGAGGATGCGCCCAGATATATCCCTGAAAATTAAAGAAGAGGTGACAAAGTTGTTAGAGGCAGAATTTATAGAAGTCTCAGTATACCCAGATTGGGTAGCCAACGTAGTGCCTGTGCCTAAAAAGGATGGAAAAATCCGCGTGTGTGTAGACTACAGGGATTTAAATAAAGCTTGTCCGAAGGATGATTTCCCACTTCCTCATATCGATGTGCTTGTTGATAATACGGCCAAGTATCATACATTCTCATTTATGGATGGATATTCGGGGTATAATCAAATTCTCATGGATGTTGATGATAAAGAAAAAACTGCTTTTATTACTCCTTGGGGGACATTTCGTTATAGAGTGATGTCATTTGGACTAAAGAATGCAGGGGCTACTTATCAGCGCGCTATGGTTGCATTATTCCACGACATGATGCACAAGGAGATTGAAGTGTATGTGGATGACATAGTTGCTAAGTCAAAAGAAGGGGGGAGTCATGTGAA